TGATATGTTAAATAACGGGACTACTTTCAGCCCATTTTTATAGCTGAAAATTCTCATGGCATAAAAGAGTCATCATAGAGTTATTTCACTGCAGAGCACTGTTATTATTCTTAGAATAACTTTGAACTCTGTAGCTTTTGGGGAAGGGGGGTGTTTTTCAAATAAAACCCTGTTTCCATTCTTCCCCCAAAAGCTCAGCTTGTATTTCAGCTGGAACGATAACAAGTTCATGAAGATATGTATTCAGGCAGATTGTAAATTTAGCCAGAGCATTTATGTTACTAAATCCAAACAAAGATCTAAAGCGAAGTGCAAAACACCACAAAAGATACGGACTGAGATTTTTAAAGCTGAGTAAGGAACTCAGCCACACAAGTCCCAAAGAAATGGATTAATTATGCGGTTGATAATCTCAGTTTATACGCCAATTTAATTCCTGATATAACTTCATTGTCTTCAGTGGAGTTACACTGCAAATGTATTTGACAGATAGTCATGTTTCTTCTCCAAGAATAACTTCTAAGGCAGAAGGTTTAAACATGAGTGAATGAAAGTCCTGGGCCAAGTTCTACCCTAATTTAAACCCTGTACAAAACAGCTGACTTGGAAGTGAGGGTGTAAGGAAAGGCAGGGAGACACATGAGTCTATTCTTCCTTTGCTGGGACATTACATCAATTCCCTTAGCTAATGGTTGTGTCTCCAAAAAACACAGCGGGAATCCAAATTGCAGTTTGTTGGAGATTCTTTCCTTCTAAGCCTGCAAGTTCTTGTATTTCACAAGCAGTAAGTGTTCAGGGAAGAGCCTGGACTAGTCTCGGTGGAGGACGATGAAATTCACCCTGGTTAGGTACTGCATCGACCTGAATCTTGCCTGCTTCAAAATGCATTTCATCTTCTTTGAGGATAAGCACTGGAAATGGTCATTTTAATATGAGCATTGGAATTAATCACCTAATTTAATCAGAAATTAATGTTTCAGACATTCTCAACCTCAATGTTATTTTGAACTAAAACCCAGCATTTGGATTTTTTTTTTAGTTTTTTTTTTAGTGTTTTGGGTTATTTTTGGCTCATTATTAATATTAGAGTTAAGCATGTCTAAATGAGGCTGACAGGTCAAACAGGGTGCATGCACCTTTTCTAAGGTGAGAAGGAAGTAATGTCTATCCCAACTCTTTCTGTGCAGCATTGATAAGGATACGGGGAAGTTTTATTACTTTGCCTGAAGCATCATTTATGCCAGTGGCAGAAATCTGAGCGCTACAGCTCTAAGTGTAGTGAATTCCTGATGTCCTCACTTCTGGTTCTTCTCCTGGCAGAAGTTCTTTTACTAAAGAGTGATGTAATCTGGCAGCAATTGAGCTCAACAGAAACAAAATGGCTCCACGGTAACACCCCTGCTCTAGGGGTATCATTGCTAGGGCAGGCGGCACGTACATTGTGCTAATACTCAACTGGATGTCAGGGGCCTATCTGCTAAGCACCACTAATGAAGCAAAAGTGAAGACACTTCCCATCCCACATAGTTTGCAAGAGTTATAAACAGGACACACACTGGACCAAGAGCATCTCCCATTCCCCATCTGTGAAATGCAGCTTGCTAATCTTCAGCCTTGTAAAAATGTGTGGAAGTTAAAAGCTCTATGGGATGGGTGTCCTGGTTTCAGCAGGGATAGAGTTAATTTTCTGCCTAGCAGCTGGTATAGTGCCATGTTTTGGATTTAGGATGAGAATAATGTTGGTAACGCACTGATGTTTTTAGTTGTTGCCAAGCAGTCAAGGACTTTTCAGCGTCTCATACTGGCCTGGCCAACGAGAAGGCAGGGGGCACATAGAAGCTGGGAGGGGACACAGCCAGGGCAGCTGACCCAAACCGGCCAAGGAGATATTACATTCCATATGATGTCATGCTCAGTATGTAACTGGGGTTTGGCCAGGAGGTGGTGTGACTTGAACCAGCTTAACATTGGCTTTGGAGCAGTGAGAAATTGTGCTGTTCATCACTTGTTTTGTATATTCTTTTATCATTATTATTGTTAATCCCTTCCTTTTCTGTCCTTTTAAACTATCTTTATCTCAACCCACAAGTTTTACCTTTTTTTATTTTCTTTTCAATTCTCTCCCCCATCCCACTGGGGGTGGGTGTGTGGGTATGTGAGCAAACAGCTGTGCGGCTGTTTTAGCTTCTGGCTGGGTTAAACCACAATGGCTGTGACCATTGCCATGAAGGACAGCAGAAGTATTTTGAGGGAATCAGCCAGGCCAGAAGTGGGGAGGCTGAGCAGAACCAGCCCCACAGGAACAGCAGCTCTGCATGGCCCCGAGTGTGCGTGCCCCCAAAACTGGGACGGAGCACACAGCTCTGAAGCTGACGCTTCCCCGCTCACCTGGGGTTGTGCTGAGGTGGCATTTTCTTTCCTTCACCAGGCCCAATCAAGCCTTATGCAAGTAATTTATCACCAGCAGTGCCTAGGGAGCGACTCGCTGGGCTTGCTGTGCTCCCCGCTGAGACCTGCCAGCGAGGGAGACTCATTGCCATCTGGCCCTATGCGTGGCAGCCACCTCCCATCCTGCCTTTCTTTTCTTCAGCTCCCTCCGGCATATGCGATTATTTGTTATTTCTGCATACAAGGCTCCCTGCTGGAGATGAATACAACCTACTTTTTCCCTCCTCACCAGAGCTTACATCTGTGATCTCTAATTCTTCACCTCTGTAGCACTCAACGCCTGCACAAGTTCACTCCGTGTACGTAGCTGTACCTCTCTTCTCCCAGGCTCGTCTCAGCAGCTGGGGTCCAGTCCTACCTTACCTCTTTATCACTTGTCACCTCCTTCATTTGGGATACCTCCAAAATCAGCTCTTGCCCCTCTTTTCCTTCAGAGCTGCTGCGCTTTATCACCTGTCTCAAACATTAGTGCTTGATAGATTTTCTTCTGGCCACCTTTATCTATTTGACTCTCCTTTCCATCAATTTCTATGTACAACATTCTCAGAACTGTAAGTGGACCATGTTTAAATATGGATGTGGTTGCACAGGTTCCCCCACTCTTCTGTCTTTTCTCTCTCTCTGCATTAGCTACTAAAGGTCCACGCACAGGGTAAGGCACTGCAATGCAGGTAGCACATCACTGCTTCTCCTCCAGAGTACAGCTGTGAAAGAAGAAAGCATTTTTTAAATCTGTTCTTGGGGGAAAAAAAAAAAAAAAAGAAACAAAAAGATGGTAAGGATTCTTCTGAAAGCATGTCAGGAGAACTTTTACCCTGCATCACTTCCCCAGTCAAAATGGAAAAAGGAGAAAAAAAAAAAAAGAACATGCTGTGTATTTTATTAGAAATCAGAGAACCTATTACTAGCAATTAAAGAAGAGTCATGACCAAACTTTGAAACATCAAGATGTTTAAACTATTCCAGCTGAGGTAAAATGTGGGGGAAAAAGTCCTGGTGCAGACATCATCATGGATGGAAAATAAGCTACACAGAGATCTTCTTGTAGTATAATGACATCCACATTAGTACTATGACTTGAAAAGTTACTTTGGCTAAGAATTGCCACATTCACTCTGAGGGCCAAGGAGAGCACTTCTGCAAAGGCTAACATAAATAAAAAAGTAGGATTTCCTAAGGAAAATAGAAACTTAAAATAACACCGATTTAAAATTGCTTCTTGGGTAGTGATCTCATTTCCTTAGGATCAGTTTCTTATTGCCTCTCCAAGTGTGAGGCATAGTTAAATCTTCCTGAAAACTAGTGTTCTGACTGTATTTAAAAAATAGTCCAATTAAGCAAAGCTTAATTAATTCTATTTACTCTGCAGAGTGTTGCCTTGTCCTACTGTTGGGCACAGAAATCTGAGATGTGAGGTATTCTCATGGCTTTAATTTTGAAAAGGATCAGAACCGGGTTTAGCTGTCACCTTTTACTGTCCATCTGCACCTGAAAGAAGAACAGAACAATCCTGCAGGGCTGATGACAAAAAAAAATTTTCCTGTAGCTGAAATCACTGCAATCATAACTGGTGCAGTGATATCTCTAGCTCTGTTTGGGAAATGCAGAAAGGATTTTTGAATAGTTGGCAGCGGTGAACGCTTCATTTACACTACTAGAAATTCAAAGCATGTTTGAAATTAGAACATAATCAATATCCTGACAAAGCCTTTACAGGTTGTATTTAAAGGGGGTGGAGGGATAGAAAAAATTAAATGGAAGAACATAAGTAGCAAGATCTTAGCCCATAAACTGAAACTGAGAACTAGTTATTCAGTGCTCCAAGATCTAAAGCTTTATTTCTACTTCTGCAAATTCATTAATAGCATTTGTTGACCATTGGTTTAAAATATTATAGCTGATTGCTTCAAGTGACAAGTAGGCAAAATATGGAACATAAATTGTTGCAAGGAAGGCTTGCCAAAATACAGAAGGAAGCTATTTAGCCAATTATATGTTTACCTTACAATGTTTAAAATACAAGGAGAAAGTTTTCAAGAATTAAATTCTTTTGAACACCCCTAGTTTTGAAGCTTCAAAGCATCCTGGTTCAAGAACTGCCAACCCTTTTTCCACTGGTTGTGGGAAATCTAAAGCATCCAAAATAGTGGTTTTTTTAAAAAGGTCATCTGCTCATAGCACTGTAAATGGGGTTGTTTTAGCTTTTTAATGGTAGAAGCTATTGTGACAAAAAAAAAAAAGTGGGAAAAAAGTTAGAGACTACCGTTGAAAATCTCTTGGTATTCTTTGTCCTGCATTAATACATGGGTAAATGATTAATGCTGTAAAGAGCTTTGGTTTTTTTTTTCATTTTGTTTCCCCCCTCCAAAAGCATAAAGTGGGCCACAAATGGAGAAAACATCTCAACTGCAGCAATAAGCAACACTGAATTCTGCTCACAGTTCAGGGGAGCTACTACATGCTCATTCACAGAAAAGTTTGCTGGCAAAACTTTAAAAACCAGATGAGTTGATTGCTTGTGCATCTCACCTGGAATCTTTTTGTTCCTCCAGCTCTTGTTGTACGTTTCCTGACCAAGCGGTTCATCTGGGAATATGACCCGACGCTAGGTAGGTTGCATTTTATTCTGTACACAAGGGATGCTGTATATAATAGCACGGCTGAAGTAATGGAAAGTCGTAGAATTAAAATTCCAAGCCTCAGTCAACCTTTAAATTTGCTGTAAAAAGCTTCTCTATGGTCATTTAAAGCTGGAAAAAATTATTACCTAAGATGGCAGAATAGAGAAGCAGTAACGCACTAAAACAAAAGCAGAATTAATATATGAGGCGCATTTCTGCCCACACAGAAGTCAGTGGGAATTTTGCCATTGAAAGCAATTGCACTAGTATTTCGCTCTGACAATTGTTTGCTATCAGTTTACTGCTTTTGCATAACCCAAATATCAGCTGCTAGAGAATAAGATGGCTGGGATACAGATCTCAAAAATTCAAAAGGAAAAAAAAATGTTGGTACTTACAGTCAGTCTACCTACCCTTAGGTAAGTTTTTTGTCCTCACTTTCAAATATACATTATGTCTCACTTTTTGGGTGTCCAGTAGGGACACCAGTCATCAAAAGGGACACATGTCTCCTCCACTGCTCTCACTTAGCTGTATTGGGTCTGGCACTTTTGAGAAGCTGGCACAGATATCTCAAAAAAACACCTGTCAAACAGTTGCTCTGAATTAGAGGCCTCACTTGCAAATTTGGGCCAAGGTCTGATTTCTTAGTATTTTGCAAGTTAGCATATATGTGAATGCTTTGCACCAGGGAAAATCCAGGCCAAGAAGTCTTTCTCTAAGAGGTCTCACTAAAGAAATAAGGAATGCCATAAACTTGCACAGCAGAAACAAAGATGAAAGTTTATTGCAAAACCCAGGCAGCCCTTTCAACGAAGCAAAGTATCCAGTATTGTACTAAGTAGTTTTGTCTGGTAAGATGAAGAAATGACAGATATCAGCAATCTCATCTTGGGAAAATAATTCTCAGAACAACCTGAACTCAAATACATTTTTTCATCTGCTTATATCAATATATTCATCAGTGAATTGTATGTCACCTGCCTTGTACTGCACAGTGGGATGTTCAGTATAATGTTCTATCAGTATTAGTACTTCACAGCTCTTTCATTAATATATCATTTTAAGAACTTGAAAATAGCAGTATGTAAAGCATTTTGTATCAGTCTGTTCCAGGTTCATTAATTTCTTATGGGGACACAGCATACAAAAGTGTCCTTGTTGCCTTGTTTAAGCAGACAAACTAAGTTATTAGCAAGCTGCAAGGTTTGTTATTTTTTGCCCCATTACGAAGGCCCTATGTTCTTCTTGGTGTACAAGACACGACATTTGTTTCTATTTTACAAATGAATACAACTGCAAATTAACCATGCCCCTCAGGAATCTAATTGTCTTCTGTTTGCAACACAGAAAGCTTTCATGCAGGCAACAGTCCTATCTCAATAAAACAAAAGTTAAATCTCTTCTGACTTACTGAATTCTATGTTCTCATTCAGTTGAGAGGATAGCAGCTTAAATTATGCATTGCAGTTATGGTGAAGCTAAGTGCTTTAAGTTGCTCAGAGGAGAAGGTTTGAGAAATTCAAAACCTAATGAACTATTGTCAATAAGTTATTTCTTAATCACAGTAATCTCTGGTGGAAGCTGCCCATCAGAGACTGTTTTTTAAAATATTCTTTTTTCAAACTATGGATCACAGTGGGATTCAAAGGAGGCTCTAGTGTTAGAAAAAAACCAACCAACCAAACACAAAAACCCACTCTTGCAATTCTAACCACTATTCAGACCTTCAGAGATCAGTCAGAAAGGGACTGTACCTTCAAAAGCTTTGAGAAACAGTGCTTGAAAGAATGCATTTCTGTCTTTATCATGATTATCCTGCAGTGATTTAGGGTCCAGTAATCTGTAAACATTGCTGAGTTGAATTTACTAGAAGTTTTAGCAGAATAGATTCATTTCTTCTTAGCAGTCATGGACTAGCAGTTGGGTGGAAAGGATGATATCTACATACTCCACCAATATGAAAAGTTTAAGTTGTGTCTGTGAGACCCATTTGCCCTACAGCGAGAATAAACAGCTTTGTCAAGTAATTTTGAAAGGGCAAGAGTAAAACAGATGCAAACTATCTAGCTACTAAGCAACAGGAGGTTTTGCCAAAAATCACTGGGGCTTTGACAAAAATGTCATTTATATGGTTTATTCCTTATGTCAAGTTTTCAACCACCCATTAGCCCTCTGAAGCAGGGAATCCCCAGATAATTCCTGTTTTTAGGAAAGCTCTCACCAAGCTGTACAAGGCCAGATGGAAATTCAACATTATCCTAAACTAAGCATCAGGGTAAAAAAACCTTGTCCTCTTAATTCAAGGGTGGCATACTTTAACTGGAAAGGAAAAAAACACACCTTAGAAGCATTCTTTACTACTCTAACCTGCCAGAAGAAAATGAAGGACCATATTTTTAGCAGCATCTGGATATACTGCTGTATCTGTATAACATTTTCTGGCGGGAGGAGCATCACTGAATCTTGCAAGCTTTGGCACATGGGGCTGCTGCTGAAGCCAGGGCTTTGCAGCTCTGCCACTTCTGTGCATGATGTTGGATCTGTGCAGGCATTGGTAGGACAGCTGCATCTTCACAAAAGTGCATATCACTGTGCTTTTTATTTTACTGTTCTCAGCCAAGGAGTAACAACTGCAGCAAAGGTCATTTTCTGAGGGCTGTTAACTGTCAGCCTTGACTTATCCATCATTTCTGCTTAACTGGCAAGTCATTGTCACCATCTTGGTATGGTTTTATTTTTTGTTTTTGTTTTGTTTTTTTTTTTAAGTTTCCTAATTTCTTAGTCTAAGTGGTTATCTGGCATTATCAAGGCACATGGCTTTCCATTTTCAATCTTCAGAATAAATCACAGAACTGTCTCGTGTGCAACAGAATTAGAAGGCCCAATGAAAGAGCTCTTGTAGAAATGGGCTGGAACTGCACATTTAAAAAAAATGCATACAGTTGTTTTCTAAAATATTAAATATATGAATTCAGCATTAAACTTAGTCTTCTTTAGCTCATTAAATATGTACTGGGAAAGCGGATTGGGTTACCACATGGATTTCACCAAAATTCATTAATGTTCATATATTTTTTAAATAGAACATAACTAGCAAATTAATAAGCAAATTCTGTGTGGTATTAGAAGGCCTAAAAACACTTGGCCTTGTTAGGACCCTATATTTAAGCCACAGCCTAAAAGTGCTTCACAAACATAAGCAACACATCTGCGGTGGATTTAATACAGAACTGGAAATTTGTGCTATATTTCAGTCGAGAAACCTTTCTCTTGAGAGATTCACAGAAGCAGCATGAAAACAAGCATTCCTACGTACCATGTCAGCAGCGCTTGCCAGGAATGGGCCAGCAGCCAGCTGATAATTTGCTTGCCACCGAGGCGACTTGGCTCGGGGAAAGTTTGCAGCCGGCAAGCAGCCGCCCTCACAGCGGCACTGCTGCAGGTCATCCCCTCGGGGCTCGACCACCTCGGCCGCTGCTGCAGCAAGAGTACAGAAAGGCACGACAACCGCCAGCCAGCATCATCTCCAGCACGGACATACTGTATGGGGATGAGTTTCAAGGTGGAGGTGCAAAGACCTTTATTTGGCCACCTACCCTCTACGGGTAAATTCTTGGCCTGAACGTAGGACTCCCATGGACCTCAGTGACCCAGAGCTTGACACCTTGATGTTCAAGGCTGCTGTGAATAGCTGCTCTGCTCAGTGACAGTAAATAGAAATAAGTCCGCATCTCAGCAATTCTCCCCATGAGCTAGCAGCAGTGCCCAGAATTTGGGGTACCTTCACCTGGCCTCAAAGATGGAGAGGTATTGTGGTTTGCCATCAAACAAGTAATATTTAATTGATTTTAAAATTGGAGATGCTGAATCAGAGTAAGTCATCCACGGAACTAGTAAATATATTTTTTCCTGGGGAGGAGGAAGCCCAAAGAATCATTGCGGCAGTAGACAGACAGCATTGATGGCCTGCACAATATTTCACGGGCAACAGAAAATTACCTGCCTCCATAAGCCATGACATGCAGGGAGAATCTCCTGGATCAAATAATGAAAGGAAAAAAAAGTCATCACAGCTATGGCTAAGTGGGTGCTTTTTAAAATAAGTTTTGCAGTGTTTCTCCGAGAACACATTTGTTGTTCTACCATAATCAGGACAATTTCCTTAACTAGACACAGAGCTGGGATATCCAAGATTTAAGAAAAAGGGGATTATGAACTGGGTTGTGTTATTTGCTCTGAAGTAGCATTTTTATGTACAAGTTGGGAGAATCAGGTGCTTTCTGAGGTGCAGGGACTTAAAACATCCATTTTTAGCCGTATAAGGAAAAAAAAAAAAAAGAAATAAAACCCCAAGGAAGGGCAGGAGATCGAATCTTCAGTTCTTTTCTTGATTCTGTCACTGAAGTGTTGCCCACAGTCTCTGTGCCTCTGCTTCTCACCTATAAAATCCTTCATCTCATAGAAAGGTTGTAAATCCTTTAAGAGTTAAGACTCACCTATCAAAGGTGCACAGAAACACCAAGCATTTCTCCTAAGACTGAATTTTAAACAAAAGTCTACTTATAAAATAAGAGCAACCAAGGAGATGATAATTATTTTTGTTGTCCTTTCTAAAAGTCACTTGGCCTTTTCACACTATCCCTAGATGTCTTTCTCTAGCTGTTCCACATATTTCATACAACTTAGCTAATCCTCTGAAAGGAAAACTGTCTCTGAGCAGATAATCAGCAGAACAGTGCATGACAGACTGGTCCATCTACACAGGCAAAGAGAGACAGAAAGCATAGGAGTTTATTTAATTTGAATTGGATAGAGAAAAGACTATTCTTTACTTTGAAGGAGCAGAGGTAACCGTAAAGAAACGTGAGTCTTAACAAAAATTCTAATTTTGCTAGGACAACTAGATTAATAGTGACTTTTTAGAATATTTCTTCCAACTATGTCACAATTTCTTTAAGTCACTCAGGTTTTTGTTCACTCTTTTT